CTTTCTTTAACCGACAAACCCGAGGCAAGTAGTACTGACAATGAAAACCGTTCTTCTCTCAATTGTTCATTATTACGATCAGTCTCCAGTTGAACACGTTTTATAGGACGTTGTTTATTACTGTCACTCTTCTTATATTGAATTTGGTGTTTCAAATTGATAACATTGTCTCCATCAATCTCCACATCAAGCTTCTTTGCATTATAACCATCTTCGATGATTTCGTTTGTGACGGGATGTGGGTATAGGTGTGGGTGGGTGGGTGGTGGTGGGAGTGTGGGTATGGATGTGTGTGGGTGTGAGTGTGGATGTGAGTGTGGGTGTCAGTGTAGGTGTGGGAGTAGATGAAGAAAACAAGTACACCCACCCACACTCCACTCATACTCCACCCACACCCACACCCACACCCACACCCACGCCCACGCCCACACCCACACCCACCCACACCCACACCCACCCACACACCCACACCCACACCCACACCCACATCCACCCACACCCACACCCACACCCTTCGCATTATAAAATAGGTAGAGAACGACACATATGTATGCGCCGGAGAAAGGTTAGAATTAATTTGGCCGCCCTTGAGAGAAATGCGTCGTATAGTAATGCATAGGTTGGAACAAAGCATTGCTTACAAAAAAGTAATACATTGATGACATCTGTAATTTTTTTTATACAAGCTTTTGTTTTCCGTTCTTATCCACCATTCTCTTCTTTCTGTCTTCTTCAAAGTGAGTTAGACTTGAATAACTTTGATTTGAAACGTTTTGCTGTCACATATTAATCAATTTCTATCTCTAAACCTATCCATAAGAATAAATTGAGAAGCACTTCAATTCAGTCAATATCATTCTTATTCATTTTAACGTTACTTGGTAACGTCACGTCTGTTCATTTTTCAAATTATTAGTTTAAAAATCTACTTACGAATGATATAAATTTTCTCTGTATGAAGAATATCATACGAAAGAAGATTTTCAAAATTAACTTGAACATTCTTAAAAGGATAGTTATTTTTGTTTAGATCAAATTCTGTTAATATTATTTGAACGATGATTATTATTGAAAAAGATTTCATCGGAAATCAATTTATCATTAATATCATACACACCGACAGCTTATTCACGATAGGCTAAATAGAATTTTGAATAACTTATGGTCAATTTGTGAAAGCATCGTGTTAATTACTTGAATTATTCTGCAAACATTCATATTGTATTTTTCGACAGATCCTTGTTTTTTTATTGAACGTCTTTTTTTCATTCTTCTTTCTTTTTCTCTCTTTTCCTGCGATCAAATTCTTCCAATTTTCTTCATCATTTTTATTTAATCTTACCAAAGCATCGAGTTGTTAAGCTGCACTTTTTGTGATTTCAACAAAAAACGGAATACCTACTAGTTACAGTTTTTTCTCGGAGAATGACAGAATGAATGAAGCTGACATCAACGTCCTTGTAGCTTTTAAAAATAATCCGGTAAAAATAGATGAAAACAAGCATAAGGAATAAAACAAAGTCTAAAGTCAATAAACATTTCGTTACCAGAGTGGACCTCACTGAAAAAAAACAAAAGTAATATATAACTGTTGACGCTGACGAAGTTTTCTCTTTCGAAACAATTTTTTCTTCTCTTCTCCATAACTTGCATCGACTATCGTCACATACGAACAAGCATAAGTAAAAGTCATTGCATCTGAAAAAATTGACTCCCTGTTGTGGTGTGTTTTCTCGTACGTGGCTTTCGAATGTCACGCAAATATCACCAAGTAGAGAAATCGCCAAAGATTCAAACTACTACAAACAGTAGAACGAATGTTAAACAACAAAACGAGAAACTCAAAAAAACAGCACGGCAGAAAAATATAGACAATGTTGATTCATCATATCAGTCTGCTACAATATCTATCCCAAAATTAAAAGGTGGTCGTTTAGGAAACAAGGAAAAAATTCCACCTATTCCATCTGGGAGATCTCATTTGGATGACGATGACGGCAATGTTGATGATAATGAGCAAGATTTTGAACTCATCGATGAAGGCTCTTTACCGCTCAAACTATTCGCCGGCAAAAAACAATCACTTACTGAACTGAGTGAAGAATCTATGTCATTTCTATGGCTTAGACGATTCAAAGAAATTTTTTTACGCATGGGTGATGGCAAAGATGAACAAGTTGACGATCCTTTTGTTGAATTTGACATGAATTTAGCTAAAACAGATTTGGCAAATACATGTGATCGATATATCGAGAACGAACGACCCGCGCTTACAAAAAAGGTAATATTAGTCAATCAAGATTTTTCTAGAAGTTTCAACAGTGTAAAAAATATCATTGTTTTCTCAAAGTTTAACTGAAGTTAATAAGATTGACTAGTTATGATTTTAAATTGGTCCAACAATGTCTGAATAAAAGGATGGACGGTCAAACGAAGGTCATCGATAGATAAAGGACTATCGAGTGCGTGAAGTCACTTTTTGAAAGTAATCAAAATATACGACTAATAGATCGTAATAATCTACAGAGACTCCAAATTTGATGGTGCATGTAGGAAGATTTTTAGTGAGCGATGTTATATGCTTTTTCATTTATATAGTATAGTAGATAAGATTATGTTCTTGTATAAAATTCTGCTTGCTGTTCATTGCTTTTATATGAGTATCAAAGTAACTAATTCCCAGAACTTTTGATCTTAATGACAAAATCATGTAGAAGTTGACAGTATATGCATTAATACAAAAAGACGTACTACTTGAACCTACAATCTTATAGGAACATATTGAAAAGCAGAGGCAGTCGAAACATTTGCACTGTCTTCACAATGAAGAATATTGATATCTTAATTGTTTATGTTGGTCAGATTAGTTCTGTCAACAGATTATAGTTTTAATCGATAGCTATCTGCGGTTTTTTTTCAGTTGGTGAAGAGTATTTAGGTAAACTTAAATAACCATCTTACGTCACTTCGAAATTTCGTTATTTCAATAATACTCAGTGTATGTGTATTTTTTTCAGAGGTCCGCTTCACCATGGCAAGAGGTTTTGATAGATTTACAGTCAACGAATTCAGAATATGTTCGCAAGCCATTCACTTGAAAAATATTTTACTTTCAACGACATTGTGTTATTTGAGGAGCTATCGGAAGTTTTTTTTGTTGACATATATCAGTTAATTCAAATCCCGAATTCTATTTTTTTTATAGCGTATTACAATTTCTAACTGTATCAAAAGAAAATTGTAGTCTCGAAAAATCAGTTCTGACCCACATCTAGTATGCTCACCGTTGATCATAACTTGACTCTCGTCCTCATTCCTCTGATTTTATAATAAAATGAATGCCGCAATTTATAGATAAATTCAAAAAATCTTCAAAAAATAATAAACCCATGAAACTGCGATCAATTAAGCTTCTATCCGCGTCAATAGAGGAAAGAGTTAAAGGTAATACTTAGGTAAACTGGTTGTCTTGAAGATGCAGATTTCTCATTGTGTGCATTTGTTTCATAAGTCCACAACGGTTGTACGACACTTACGCACGCGACACTTGCGCGCACGACTCTTTCGCGCAGCGACACTTTCGCGCAAAATTATTTCTTTTCATGGAATAGATCTGCGTTTGGGTTTGGGTGTGATGATGGCGGAAGTTGGGTGTCACTGCGATGGGAGTAGTGATGGGCCGAAACTGTACGTTACGAACGTAAGAGAAACGATAGAACGAAAGAAAAATTCTTACGACTATAACGTAAGAAAGGCGTAATTTTTTGTTCCTTCCTGTGCGAAAATATGGAATAACGTTTCACAATGACGAGCAACATTGTACGTCATTCCGTAATTTCGTACAGGAAGGAACAAAAAATTACGCCTTTCTTACGTTATAGTAGTAAGAATTTTTCTTTCGTTCTTTCGTTTCTCTTACGTTCGTAACGTACAGTTTCGGCCCATCACTAGATAGAAGAGCAGTAGTTCGAGACAATCCTTGATGCATCTTCACTACCCTAGGGAAAATCTTTGATGTTTCTGTGTCTGATCCTTAACGAATTCAATCAGGATCCTTGAAGGATTCGCTGTTTTTTTCCCGAGGAAACGACTAAATCGTGAAAGAAGCGTGTAGTCACAGAATTTCAAGATTCTGGTAGGATTCCTAGCAGGATTCAATCAGGATCCTGAACAGATTGCGTCCGAACTGCATGAAATCTTGAAAGAATCATCTCTATTATTCGTGTAAGGCTACAAAGCAAGATCAAGTTTGAATCCTTGTAGGATCCTGCATTCATGATTTAGAAAAATATCTTGACAGGAACCTGGATAAGTGCTGAACAGGGCTCTACCGAACCGTGCGAAACTCTGGAAAAACGAATTATCAAGAACTGCGGCAGGATCTGGAAGAAAACCTGACAAGATCCTTGAAATCTAGGATCCTGAAAGATTCTTCCAGGATTTCTCAATAAATGATCAGAATTGAGACTAGGGTAATACTTAACCCTCACGCCCACACACATCCTCACACCCACACCCATACCCACATCCGTAGTCATATCCAACCCAGACCGAAGTCAAGCGCAGAAAAAAAACATTTTGCGCGCAAGTGTCGTGCGCGAAAATGTCGGCGCGCAAATGTCGTGCCACGGTCAACAACAAATTTGTTGCCATGCAGGATTCAAATGCTACGACAATCACTAAGTCCAACCAACAAACTGGTTCATTACAGAATATTCAGAATTGTATTAAAGAACTTAACGATCTGATTAGTAACCCATCATCAGGAGACTTATCGTCATTATTGAGTAAATGTATTAAATCATTACAAGAACTCGACAAAAATACTCAGGAAATTATTGACAAGCTGCGAAAGCAACAGAGCAACAGCTCGAAGCATGATCCTCGCCCTATTCTAGAACTCATTCGATCTTTACAAATAACGGAAGAAAAGAAAAAACAGAGTGATTTGGAGATAAAGCAAGAATGGGATATGAAGAAACTCTATGCCGAAGTATTTAAAATGTCCTACAAAAGAAATCAATTGATAACAGAGGACGAACAGGTAATAACATAATAAATTCTTCAAGTTTATTTCACATAATTAGTTTATTTTATAAATATGATTAGGAGGAATTAACACCAATAAAGAAAGGTGACGATCAGCCGAATTTTGGTAATGCTATTTGGTGGTATTCGTGTGACAAGGCGAATATATACTATCAAATTAATTCAATATTACGTCTTGAAAATTTTGAATTGCTGATGTCATATCGTTATTATTTGAGTGATCTTTGCAGAATGATTGAATTCATGTATCAAAAAAGAAAAGATGAATACGGTGATGCTGCACAAATATTCTATCGATCTGGTCATATTGATAAAAAACAGCTAGAGAAGATGAGCCGCAAACAACAAAAAGGTCAATTCATATCACTGCTTGGTTTTATTTCAGCTACAACTAATATGAATATTGCCAAAGGCTATGCTAAAAAACAAAATACTTCTAAAGATAATGAAAAAGCTTTGTTTAAAATCAGAATCGAACCTCAGCAACCATGTACAGCATTTGCATATATCTCTGGTATCTCATTTCATCCTGAAGAAGAAGAGGTCTTATTTAGTATGGGCTCAACGTTTACTGTTGATCATGTTGAGCCAAAAAATGACGAAAATTTTTATACAATTCAACTTACAGCATCTGAAATCGATAAAACACTTGTCGACGATATTCGTACGAAAGTTGAAGAGTGTTCACCCTCGGGTCGAGCTGTTCTACTTGCTCAGTATCTTATGGAATTAGGCGAGTATCGAGCAGTCCGTAAATATCTTAGCTCACTTCTAACCCAAGCATGCGATGGAGGCATATTGGTAAATGATCCAAATCTTGCTGCCATTTATTGTTGTCTAGGTATGACTTACGCTCGGCAAGGTCTTCATAGTGATGCACTTAAAGCCTTCAAACAGGCACTTAATGTACAAGCACGTGTCGAATATTCGAATAATAATGCATTAGCTAATATTCATAATAATATTGGATTAGCCTATATAGGCTTAGATCATATGGATGAAGCGGAAGAGACATTAGCGAAAGCGTTACGTATACAATTACGAGAAGTTAATTCGAATCAGCAGCACTTAGCATCGATTTACGGTAATATTGGCTATGTTCATTACAAAAAGAACGATTTTGAAAAAGCACTGGATGGTTTCAGTAAAGCTGAAAAAATTTACAAGCAAAGTTCGAGCAAAATTGCACACGACGAACTCGAAAAGTCTCTGATAAAAGCTGAGTATCTGACAAATTATGGACATTTACTAAGTGCTTATGGATCTCTGACGAACGCACAAAAACAGTATAGCGAAGCGCTCAAACTCTACAAGAGTATTCTGCCGGTCGACGATCCTAAACTAATGCAGACTCATATCAATATAATGTTTGCTCATGGACAAAATGAAAAGTATGATGAAGTTACCAAACAATTTGAAGAATGGACAGTGCAACAACTGATCGACAAACAAGAAAGTAATATGTTTGAGTTGAACAGTTCGGTCAGACAAGCGACTCTTGCTTTTCTGTGTGAGTTTGTCGGTGCTTGTTATGTAAAGCAGAAATTATTTGATAAAGCTATTCGTACGTGGAAACGTAGTTTAATATTTCAACGTAAGGCACGATTAGAACAATTATTGCTTGGAACTACAGATAACAATTCTTCAACACTAACCAGAGCTCAAGAATCCCTTATCAGTAAAAGTTATCAACTTGCACGTGAACATTATTTGAAATTAATCAAGTAATTATTTTTCTCTAATAATTTATTCCATTATCAATTTCATATTATAGAGAAACTAATGAGCCAAAAGATGAGACAATTAAACCACTGCCTTATGATTTTTGTTTGGGTTTTCTCTATGCTGAATCATATAATCGTGATAGAGCAATTGAATATTTGACGAAGACGACAACAAGTTCACAAAAATCTGATCACGACATCTTGTTTGCTGTTTATCTTCTCTTGGCTGACATGTTCAAACATCAACATGAATACGAAAAATCTATCGAAAATTTCGATCAAGCATTAAAATCACTAAAATCTCTCGAAAGTCAAAAGGATCGTGTATTGGAAATTGAAATAAAATTAGCTCGTATTGACTGTCTCATTAAAACCGATCAAAATGATGAAGTAATTACCAAATTGGAAACACTCAGAAAATCATTAAAATCGAATGATACTGATACGAAGCGTATAAGTCTAAAAGTAATCATTTATGATACCCTAGCTCGGTATTTTTCGATGCAAAAAAACTACAAATTATTTGACAGCAATGCTGAGGAGTCACTAGCACTCAAACTTCGTTGCTTCTCTCAGTATCATCCCAGTTTAACTATCAGTTTAATATTAATGGCCGAGCGTCATACTCAAGAGCGTCGTTACCGTGAAGCATTAGACTTTTATGAGCATGCACTTGAAGTGCAAAGTTTAAATTTGACTGATAAGCATCAGAAAATAAGAAAGATTTGCTATGCCATCGGTGATATTTATTGTGAATTGGATAAGTTACCGAATGCCATGGAAAAATATAATGTGGCCGAGAACAAAAGTTTGGACGTAGATGAAGATGATGTTCTACAGCAAGAGACAACTAGTTTAGAAGAATCAATGGAAATTTTAATGGCTCGAATAAGTATGCATCAACATTTAGCAGAATATCATTCAAGAAAACAAGCTTATAAAGAAGCCATTTCAGAAATGAATAAAATTATCAATTTATTAGAAAAAAAATTACCATCGTCAACATTCGATATCAATGATGAAACAGTAATAATCCAAGAAAATATCGATGCGTCGATGCTCATTATCCGTCTACAACAGCTCGCCAATTGCTATCTGCAATTAGGTGACATAAGAGATACTGAACAAGAAGATCACAATGGCTATGAAGCCGCCTTTAACATTTACACGAAACTCGCTCAGTGTGACGGAGAAGTAGAGAGCAATAAACTTGCTATACTCTGTAGGAAGTTAAGCAATTATTACGAAGATCTTGGAGAGAATGAGAAGGCCCTTCGTTTCCTACAGGAAACTGTTGACTTAGAACAACCAACGATTGCTACTCTATATCGATTAGGACGTTTGAACGTTGCTTGTAATTTACTAGATGAAGCTGTGACAAATTACGAAAAAATATTATGTGATAAGTCAATCAGTGAACAAAAAGAACTTGAACAAATTGTGCGAGAGAAGCTAAATGAGGTTAAAGACAAAGTAAAAAATCAAGAGAGATGGTGGTCGACAAGTTCAAGCGAGTCCAGTAAAAGTACATCTAGTATTGAAGTACCAAATTCATCAAACCAACTTAGCAGGAACCCAACTAATATATCTATAAGTACTCAACATAGAAACGAAGTAGATTCAGATGTGAAAGAAGAAAAAGGTCAGTCAACATCTAGTATCTTTCTTTGATTTAAAATATCTATTTTCAGGAAACGCTGTTGACTCCTCTGATCATCGAGCCATGGCAGCTGCTTATTTTCTTCTTGATGATTTTGATATGTCACTAAGATATTATGAAAAAGATATTAGAAAACGTAATAAGAATATATCAGACGCAAACATGTTTGATACACAAATACAAAAAATTGAACAAGACACATACACTTACGAACAACAGTGTATATTGATCTTTTTGCCTAAAGTATTTCATTCTCTGGTCAAGAAAATACGAGAAACAAACGATTTTGAAGATACCAACATATTGGAATTAGCTGATTCGTATTTTCAATGTGCTCTTCTTTATGATCAACTCTCGTTACACCTCAAAAGTATTGTTTCTTATATTTCAGCTTTTGCTATATATGCTTCGAAATCGCTCAGTAAAATCGAAATATTAATCAGTGAAGCAACCAATATAATAAATTCCTTTACAGGGGACGGTCTTAAACCAAAAGATATCCTTGAAATCTATAAGCGACTACTGCCGTCTGAAGATGTAATTCAAACATGTTTGAAAATAGCTGCTATGTATCGTGAAAATGAAATGGATGATGTTAAAGATTTAGATGATGATGATGATACAAGTAACGAATCACGAGAAATAGCTGTAGAATGGTATAGAGATTGTCTATACGCTACTGATGATGTATTGGCAAAAGGTGTATGTTATTACAATATTTTAAGTGTTTATAAGAATTTTATTTATGAAGATGATGATGGTAAAGCTATTGTTGACGATATGATTAATTGCTTACCAAAGTTTAATAGTTCTGATCGACGCTTGTTAATTACATTAGCATTACATTTCCTAAAAGAATACGACAATAATAAAGGCTATTGTGATAGGAAAAGTATTCTTCAGCTGCAAAAAGTTGCAAATCATTCTTTCGATGAAAAATTGAAAATGGATAACGCATCGAATATTGGATACTACCTTATGAAATCTAATGATCTCGTAAGTGCTGAAGAATACTGGAGCTCAATCGCCAAACAACTTGAGTGTGATATAGCCGGCCCAGTTCTTCCACTTCTTCATGATTATTATTCGACATTTTATCAGATCCTTAACACTGTAAAGCAGCCAGAGAACGACATAAACGCACTTTTCCATCAGTTGGTTGATGCCTATGAAAAAATAGGCGATTACTATATATTGGACGCCAGGAATGGTCAAACAAAAGGTGCAGAATGCTTTCAACAAGCCGAAAGCATGTACCAAATGGCAGTACATTTATTGAGAAGACTCAAAGCTAAGAACGACAAAATTAATCACATTGGCAAGAAACAAATGGAGGCGTCGCAGGCAAGGAAATCAACACAACCATAAAATGAATAACATTTATTACTGATCAAAATGAACATCTAACTGAAACTTTTTTCTAAACTGATCCAATGATGAAAATGGAATTTTTTCTCTATTTTGAATAACATTCATAAACAAGAAAAACTAACTAAACAGACTATCAAAAACAACTTGACTTTTCGATAGAATTTCTCTCTCTTAGCTAGTTACAATAGATGAACAAAAATATTCTTCCTGAGGGTGTAGGTTCGTGTGGGAGTGGGTGTGCTTCTCGCAGAATTCCAAGCTTATCACGACCAGTTTCGTCCTTGCTTGAAGGACTCATCAGGCAAATTTGGAATTCAAGTATATTGCAACGAATTAAATGAAATCTCATGACAAAAAGAAATAATAAGAGCCAAAGATTCGGAATCTTAGACTCTCAAAAATATCCTAATGTTGGGATTAAATTTAATAAAATTCGCAATAATTTTCTAAATGGTGTGTCAAGCAAACCATGATGCGGATTTCGATCTTTCTGAAGGGTCTCATCAGGTAGTTTTGACTGCGTAACTATTCGAAATGATCACGAAGATCATAGATAAGTTACATAATCTATATAAAGTAGGACACTTTAGTAAAAAAAATTCCCCAACTTGATAGATATCTTTATATAGAAGTAATGTGTCAAGCAAACCACGATCCGGATTTCGATCTTGCTTAAGAGTCTCATCAGGTAGTTCTGACTATCCTAATGACTAGTGCCCTTCTTTTCAGTCTAGCTGGATCGTTTTGGAATGTGTTGTCTGTGATTTTATGGGACAGGTATTATAGCTGCCTAGTTTTAAGTGTTTCCGTTTCAATAAGTTGTTGGATTTTGATTTTACTCTAGTTTGATCGTTCTCTTAATGAATGGATTTTTTGTTCGGTATCATCTATCGTTTATATGTGGCTGAAATAAAAATGATGGATTTGGTTTTTTTTTGAGTCTTTTGTTCGATAGAAATTCTGAGAAAGAAATGTTTATGGATTTTCATCAAAATGGGTGTGGATCTGGGTGTGGGATGTGAGTGTGGGTGTGGGTGTAGGTGTCGGCGTGGGGTGTGGGTGTGGGGTGTATATATGGGTGTGGGTGGGTGTGCGTTTGGGTGTGGTTTGTGGGCGTGGGCGTGGATGCGATTCTAGATTTGATTTAGGGTACAAGCGTTGTTCTCAACTATCCCCATACCGACATCTAGACCCCACATCCACACCCACACTCACATCCATACCCACACCTACACTCCACAACCGCACGCACACCCACACCCACACGCACACGCACACCCACACCTACACCCACACCTACACCCACACCCACACCCCATATGGTACCAAACAACTCGACTTTGAGCTGTTATTCTGAATTTTTTATCTATAAAATAACTATGTTTTTCTATGTTTTTTATCAGTCCAGGATTATCATGTGTATAATTCTTCTTGTACATACATAGATGTAGCTCTTTTCAATTATATATAAAATAACTTTTGTGTCTATTTTCAATACTTTCATTTTACATAAGCATTAACAGTAATCAATATTTATACATGTGGAAAATAGTCTTTTGCATATTTAGGAAGTCGACGACCACCAAAACATAAAGAATTCAGTTTTGCACAATTGATTCGTGTTGTATCTCTTGTAAAATGATGCGTCACTCTTTTCAATTGGTGGTAAAAAATGTTAAGATGAACATTATTATTCAGTAAACATATTCTTGTATCAACTAGAAATTCTTCAATATAGTCATCATGAGCTAGATTAAGAGTAAGACAAATAAGATGAGGAAATTTAATGACCGAAAAATCTTGATTGTCATTCTTTGATTCTTTACATAATTTGTTATTTTGTGGTTTCGAATTTTTTATAGATAAACGTTTAATAAATGGAAACGATTGAGCAATTTGGAGAAAAAATTCATGTTCAAAAGGACATTCATCATAAAATAATAGTTCATGAACATATTTAAATAATCCACCTGGAAAATTATTTGTTATAGTATAGTAATATTTTAATTTGAACGAATATGAATAGATATGACATAAACTATATTGTTCTTTTTGGAAATAATCAATATAAGAAATAACTTGATCATCTTTAAAATCTCTGAATGTATGTTGAATATCTTCTTTTGATGGTAGATAAATTTGATTAGAAAGATAAAGATGTGAGCAAATATAAAATTGAAAACTCTTTAATTGTGGCATATAGTTAATAATATTCTGCTTCAATTCATTTCCATCAACAAATGTATTTTTGTCACAAATACCAAGATTCAAAGAGAGTTTTTCTAAATTCGACATTCGTTGTAGATGTGGTACAATTACTTCATCATAAACATTTGTCATCGGTTCACAGTATAGTGAAAAACATCTTATATTAGGTATAGGTAATTTTTTCTATAAAAATCATATAATGAATTTGTTCGAAAAAATTAAATATTAACCAAAATAACCTACCTGATTATTGTTTCTTAAATCCGAAGGAGTAATAGAAAAAATATCAACATGAAGTGTGTGAAGTTTATTGAAACGTCCATCAAGTATATAAAGACAGTCGGAGAACGACACCAAAAGGATATGCAATTCTAAGAGAGTTGAAGAGTTTATACCTGGATACGGATTTAAAAATGCTAATTGTTCATTCCAAATTGAAGATGCACAAAAATTTAAATATTGTAAATTGGAAAACGTAGTAAAGATACGTGCTAATATTCGTGAATTCATATCCTTCGTTAAATTTACTTTTCCATATGTAGTACGTTTGATAACAAACTCAAAGATTTGATTTTTATCTATAGAAGTTAAACAAGATTCGCCTAAATAAAAAAAATACAAAGTCAATGAAACACATGTTTATTAGGTTCTCTATTGATCATAAAAGCAATATCTTTATTAATTTTTTTCTTTTTAATAATTTGATAATGTACATGTGTGATCTTTTTTCTTTCAAATTCTTTAATAAATTATATTGTTTTTTATTTCAGTCATTTATTTTTTTTTCTACCCTTTCCTCTTTCAGAAACAATGTTTTAAATTTCAATTAAAGACACTAGAAAATTTTATTCAAATATTGTTTTAATGATAAGGCTTTCCTTGTTTTGTTTTTCTACTACTAATTTTCTTCGAATTTATATTCGTCAGTTTGCATCAATAAAGTTCAGAAATATTTTATAAGAAAAAAATAAAGATGTGTAATAATCTAAACCTATTTGTATAAATTAGATACGCAAAATCATTTTGATTTTTGTATATATTTTTCATTAATTAATTATTGAAAGAATCGAAAAAAGGGTCTTACCACTAAAGAAAGACAGAGCTGTTTCTATCTCAATATCATATAAACCAAGTCCATATAAATTCGGATAATTTGTAGCAAGAAGAATCCGTTTCATAGATGATGATTCAAGATTAAACCATTTGATTTTATGATGAATCGAAGGTAAAATTTGTAAAAAAAATTGATCAAGTATTGGATCAGATAATGGATCGATGGAATCAACTGAGACATTCTTCATCAATGTTAAACAATTTGTAAAAATTGAATCATGTACAATTGCATGAAGTCGTTTGTTAACACCTATTAGAGAGTACAATACTTGGACATTGGACAACTTTTTCAAAATAATCATAAGAATCTCATCAGGTAAATCATTTAAATCAACGGATGCATGTTTCATATTTATTTTCACTGATCTATTCTTTTCGTTCATAAATATGAATATATATATGTATATACTCATTTTCTCTATTTAACCGTGTCGTCATTCATCACCAATGAAAAACAATGAGACATTTTCTATACTCACAATTCACAGCGAATGAACAAATGAAAAAATGGCATTGTTTCTCTTTGTTTCTTGAGGGTGTGGGTGTGGGTGTGGGTGTAGGGTGTGGCTGTGGCTGTGGGACGTGGGTGTCGGCTGTGGGTGTGGGTTTGTGGGTATCGGTGGGTGTGAGGAGGGAGAAGATCCACACCCACTGAACCCACACCCATACCCACACCCATATCCTCCACACTCAACATTCCACACCCACATCCACGCCCCACACACCCACACCAAACACTCGAGTTTCTAGTGTCGAAACGACCGGATCCACGATATTTGACATTACCCGATAACGAAAAACAGCCCATAAAGTATGCATTACAACATCATAACCTAATCCGTATAAATATTCTTTTCTCTTCCATAGAATATCAATCGAAAAAAACCCTCTCTATGAATTGATCAAACAACTGCTACCACAAACAGGACATAAGTAACTACTTTCCTGCATAACTTTACTTCCTTATATTGAATAGACCGACATTAATACATACTACACTGACTTGATAAATAAACTGCTAAATCCACTCATAATTTTCATATACAATAAAAACTAAAGCACAAACCCACTATCCCAACAAAACAACTATCATAAAAATACCCATAAAAACCGCAGAATAAACTGCTCAATCATAAGAAAGCAAGACACATTTTCTACCTACTGTACACTCCCCCACCACAAAACGAACAACATTCTTGAAATCATGCAACTATCATCATCAAAAAATAACACTATCCAATCCCATCCACCGCAAACCCATACAAACGAGAGAACCCCACCTCCAAAACAATTTCTAAAATTCCCAAAATAAAAAGATGCACAATATCTGCCAGAGGCATAGGAAATATAAATTCGGGCCGAATCACTTTAGAAACACCAGATACGAACAATTCCTTTATCGTGGTGACTACTACAGACCAACTTTCCTGTAGATGTATCTACTCTTTCAACAGGGTAGATCTATTCAGGTGTCATGTTTTTGATTCAGTTTTGGATCACTCTTAACTGATACTGAGGCCACTTGATAAGATTGGGTCAGTAACATCGAAATATCCTAGGCTATCGTGGTAACTACTACACAACCACTTTTATTGTGAGCGTATCTACTTAGGTTTCGGCTTTTCAAGTAGATATTTTCAAGTACTATGTTAGGATTCAATGAAATCTTGGATCCATAAGAACTAGTACTGAGGCCACTTGATAAGATTGAGTTCAGTAACATCGAAATATCCTAGGTTATCGTGGTAACTCTAGACACACCCACACCCTGAAAATATACGGCTACGCCATTATATTCCCGAACTGCAAAGTTAATTGAACGTTTTGTTTGCTTTTTTTCTTCAATAGACAACAAATCTACTTATCTGGCCCGTTAGTGCTATAGTAGACGCCATAAGACACAAAAAGGCGCAAACATAATAATGTCTAAAAAGGTAGTTCTCATAAACGAAATTATTATAATTTTACTTTTTTGACAGCCCATCTTTTTAAAAAAGATTGAGCCTATCATTTTTCCAATCTGAAATGTGCTGAAAACAAGAAGTCTTCAAAATGTTCTGTAGTTTGCTCAATATGGTGAGAAGTAGTACTGCCATATATATTTTTTATTTTGATTATAGAAAAGACTATTGACAGAGGTCATCAGGAATTTCGTATTATCATTTTTTCAGAACTTTTCACGGGGTATCTTTAAAAAAATTATCAAGGTTCTATGATGTCTCTATGCTGAGATATATGCAAAATAAAAATGTATTACAAATATTTTGAAAAAACCGATGGTTGTAAGGTTGAACACGATGCAAAAAGAGCAGCACATGTTGAGGGTGAGGATTATGTGACACACGAAGTGTAAGCATCGGACATCCAACACAGAGAGACTTTCAGTGTTCGAAAAGCATAAGTGAAGATCTATGAAACAGGTATATAACCTGACCGATGTTGACCTGTACACAGGCGAAAAATAGATAAACATGAAATATTTCTAAAGGAATCAGTTCATTTATTTGTTAATTTTGTTTTGGGATACGTTTTTCTAGAAAAAAAGAACAAAAAACTATCTATGTCCGTTAATTGTGAGACGACAATTCGATTGAAAATTTTTGCACTCGATGACGCCAAAAATCGGCGACATAGAGATTGCCGTGTCGATCGAATGATAAACCTTTGAGATAATCAAGCTCGTTCCCTTGATCGCCTCTGTGGTTTCCATCAACGACAATACTTCCGCTTGTGGCTCCTTGCGGCCAACGCATTATTCGATGATTCTTCGAGTCAGCCACATAGACAGTGTTCAATCGATCGACGAATAGTCCATTTGGATAATGCAATTGTGTTAGAGCATCCCCTTTACCGTTACCACCAGCCACAATAATGCCTTCTTTCGCACCTTTCATCCATTTCATTACACGATGATTGTTCCAGTCCGATACGTACACTGAATGATCTTGATCGACGACGATGGAATAAGGATAATCGAGCTGATCACGACGATTACCTTCTCCATTACCACCTGCCACCACTGTTCCATTCTTTTCACCCATTCGCCATCGCCTAACTTCATGCTTTTCTGTATCAGAGACGTATAAAGATTCTTCGTCATCCATTGCCAAATCCTCACATTTCACATTCAAGATAATCGTTTCGCCGCTTCTTCCATCATGACGAGGCCATCGTACTATTCGTCGGTTCAAAAAGTTGCATATGATAAGACTATCTGTTTGTTTGTCAAGAATCACATCTGTTGGGTAATTTAACTGATTAGACTTGTTTCCAATTCCATTTCCACCAGCAACCACTAGCCCACTTGTCGCATCACGCTTCCATTTCATGATACTTTGATTTCTATGGTCAGCGATGTAAAGAGTTTGATCATCATCGATATAGAAACCGACTACTCGCTCTAATTGATTAAGGTTACTGCCTTGTCCATTTCCTCCGGCCACAGTAATACCGTGCTGAGTCCATTTAGCATCGAGAGGAATCTGCAGAAACGCTGCAATAAAAGAGAAACAAAATGCTGAAGTTATGAATGAAAAGATTTGATATTGAATGATTCTAAATTACGCTAATCAACATGACTTGAGGATAAGAAAAAGTACAGAACTTGTTTTTGTCCATAGAAAGTCATTTCTAATCGATTGATATATTTTTTGAAAATGCAACCGAAGCGATGATCTTTTCCACGACGATACTATCGAATCGGAAGGGTTCAGAGAAAATGTCTGTGACAACATATGTAGGATGATCCAAAAGTCAGTTAACTGAAGAAAAAATTGATTATGTTCATTGCAATTCAATCAAATCGGCTGATTTTTTTGGTTAGTGATACAAGTTTATTCAAAGGCTTTTCATATGAATAGTATGACGAATATGTTTTTTAAGAAATAAATATCAACCTTACTAAAAAAGATGTCACCTGTTGGTAAATGAGAAAAATGCATGTGGAGCGTTTCATAGAGTATTTTTTGCTGCCACCTTAGTGGATGAGAGGAAGATATCAGAACAAGTTTTACGAAAAATACAATACTGATGCAAATACAATGGAGTTTTTGAAGATAGTTTAAAAATTAAAAGTTGCAATATTTCAGGTTCCTAAGTATCTTACAGCGACTTTTTGCAAGAAAATTGTTAATTTAATGCTTAAAGAAACTTGATTGTGCGTTTTTGTTATTGGACATGAATTTCACCTCGTAAACGAACTAGTTTCGAAAAATCACTCAACTTGTACCAGTATTGTAACACTGATAAAGCTTGTTTTGATATTTTCCGCTCATCCACTGACATAATCAGTAAAAACTCTCCATGAAATGTTCCACATGTCTTTTTCTCATTTGATTTTTTTTGTGAGGTTAACATTAGTTTTTAACAAACATACCTTTGAACACACTTTTATCACTAACTAAAAAATCAGTCCGTTTGATTGAACCGCAGCGAAGATATTCGATTTTTCTTCAGTGGACTGTCTTTTGAGCTACCTGTATTCCCATAAAATCACTTATCAAGCTTATGTAGACTTGTGCTCTCTAAAAAAAATGGTGTCATAGGAAACTATTAAAGGTTTTAGCGAAGATTCAGAACGTTTTAAGGTTTCATTCGTTTATTAGTAAACCATCAAAAGGTTCTAGATGATTTTAAGAACCATGCCAAATAAAAAAAAAATGGTTCCAGAGGTTGAGAAGAGTTCTATCTTCCACCATTTTTCTATATAAAGAACCATGATAGACGAAAAAAAGTTCCAGATATTTAGAAAAGTCCTATCTCGCACCAATTTTGTTCATAAAGAACCATGACTGATGAAAAATGGTTCAAAAGATTTAAAATGGTTCTGTCTCACACCTTTTGTTTTTATAAAGAATCGTGACTGATAAAAAGTGGTTCCAGAGATTTAAAAAGAGTTCTATGCTGAACCACTTTTTTCTATGAGGTATCACGACTAAAATAAAATGGTTCCAGCAAATCAGAAGAGCTCTACATCGCACCATGTTCCTTATTACAGAATCATGACTGACTTTAAATGGTTCAAGGGATTTATAAGAGTTCTATCTCGTACCGTTTCTTCTCCATAAAGAACCGTGGTTTATAGAAAATGGATTTAGCAATTTAAAAGGGTTCTATACTGCACCATTTTCTTTATGCTCTCCTCCTTTTAGAAACGTAGTTCTAGCACAAGTCGTCTGTATTCAATTGGAAAAAAAGAGGGCAAACAGATTCTTTGAACTTTGTCAAGCGTTACTAGACGTTTGCAATAACGTTCGAATCCAGGACACCTCACTAAATGTCACATAATCTCATATGTCTCATTTGAAAGCTCTTCCAAATTTCACAATAGAAAAAGCTTCGTAGTGAACGTCTCTGAAGTATTATCGACAGAAATTTTCCTATTAAATTATTTTCTTTCAGGCTTTCTATAATAGAGGTCGCTGTTCACTGATCAAAAACACGATTAATCTAAATAGTCCCTATTTTTATCGCTCTACCATTCATCTTGCTATTACGTTCACATACTTTATTAGTGAATTTACATTTTATATTTTGCCAGACGCAGCTACATTTGAGAGCAATATGAAAAACATCAGTTATATTGTCAATAGAATCTGTTCAGTAAAATTTTGAGATGCCTACATTGTCCCAGCAGAAACAGAGATTCTGACGACTGATAGCTATCTCTATTTGAATTTCATAAATTTCTACGATGTTGTCTTCGCTACCACTTTTAGGAGGTTGATTGTTGGAGCAAATTAAGCTAAAAGTTTGCTCACTCTTTTCATTAGATAGAATATTTCTTCAGTAGACAAATTTAAACTATGAAAATATCTTCCTTTTCATCTCACTTGGTGTTCATCGCGCTTAAATTAGTTTAACATTGGAGTTTAGATATAGATATACGAGTTAAATATCGAAATATATATTAGAGAAAAGAAGAAAAGTAAGATATATAACTAATGAGTAAGAATAGAAATAAAGAATTAAAAGTAGAATTAAGCGATTACAAATAGAATTCTGTGATTACAACTAAAATTAACGAATTAAGAATGAAATTATGCGGTTAAGGCCAGATATAAGAGTTAAGGGTAAAAGTATCGAGTATCCCAAAAGTCCTTTCCGTTTGAATTTTTCCGATATATTTGCAACTTGATCTAACTTGATTAACTATGTTTTTTTCAAATGATAGGTAAACATCGGCGGGCCAGCATCAAAATTTTTGGTGTGGCAATTACGAAAAAAAATCGTTTTGATGACTAGTTTTTGTCCGGTTGTCGATTATTTCAAATATTTTTGGTGTGGCAATTGCCACACTTTGCCACGCTGGTGGTCCGCCACTGTAAGTAAATACAATGAGTTTTTATCGATATGAAAAAACATCAGAATGACTGTTCAAAGATGTGAACCGCAACCGAAATGCAAAAATAAAATCTTTGTCGAAACTTAAAAAAAAAACATAATGCAATTTCTTTTTTAATTCCTACAAGTTATTGAGCAATGAAGATTTTTGAATAATCTGAACGTTGAAAAGTCTTTTCATAGACTTTTATTTTGATATGTCTTCACAAAAATGAATTGAATGATATCAAGTCAAAATTCAAGCAATTAAAAACAGATATCATCTATAAGTCTTTCTGGAAATAGAGAAAAAAATTCAATTTTTGTATTGGGATTAAATTTTACATGTTTGGACAGTACTTTCGAAGTTTGCTTGTATCAATTAAATTTGACACATTTATCTATCATTAAAAAAAAAGATAGTTGATCAAGTTAGATAAAATTGCAAACATATGCAAAAAAAATAATTAAAAGAGTCTTTTAGAACACGCGATTACGCTTATTCAGTGAAAAAATGTCAAATTATATTCCGATTTTTATGCATCAAAATGAAAATGATAATGAACTGAAATCTTCTAAATTAACCATAATTTGATTTTAATAAAAAATTAAAAACAATAATTTCGATTAAAATCAAATTATGGTTAATTTAGAAGATTTCAATCGATTATCATTTTCATTTTGATGCACAATAATCGAATTATAATCTGATATAATCGGGTATAATCTGACATTTTGTCACCGGGTAAGGATAAGCTTAAGAATAGGGTTAAGGATAAGGTTCAGGAGAGAAATAGGTAGTTAAGGATAAGGTTAAGGACAAGGTTAAGGATAGAAAATAGGTAGTTAAGGATAAGGTTAATGATAGGGTTAAGAATAGAAATAGGGGATAAGGATCGATATAAGGGTTAGGGGTAGAAATAATCGGCTAAGGATAGAAATAGGTCGTTAGATGTAGAATCAATCAACAGCACTAGACAAAGCGTCTCGAATGAACTGGTTTCTAGCTGACTAGAACCATTTTTAAAAGAAAGAAGAAAAGGTTCGAGATAGAACCAGATTATGCTCGAACCTTAAAAGGCTCTGAAAATGGTACCCAAATCTAGAACCTTTTAAGGTCCAGTATCACAACTTTTTCTTTTTTACAGAGTAGAGCCTGAACAAAGCACTAGGCCGTCTTAGAACCTGATAAACAAGAGCCTCTTAGTAAGATATGCTGCGTATCACTTCCAGTTTTTGCCGTTGTTTGGAAAAAGCAAACTTTTCAAATGAAAGAACTATCATAACCTTTTTTGGTTTTCGGTGGTTTTGTAGTGATCGTGTGTAAGATCGCTTTGTGTGTAGATGAAGTCAATTTGTTCTGATACAGAGTACGAATGCCGTTTTGATCCTAAAATTTAAAGATTTACTTATTGAACTTTGTTTTCATAGAATCTGAAGAATAACTTCAGAAAAGACTATCAGAGTTTGGCTCAATTCTTTTAGTGCAGAGTGCTGTTGATTATTGGATAGACAGATTCTTCGAAGTGACTGTAGTGAACGATACATTATGAGCTTTTTTATGGTTTTTCATGGAAGACGAAAGCAATTTTTTATTGTTTTGAAGAGGTAGTCATTCTTTCGCTTTTGGATGTGGTGAACAATGTGGTCTCTTGTGGACTAGTGCTCAGTTAAGATCACTGTGACTCCCTATTAATTTAACTCTTCTGCAAATCAATCTTTCTATTTTGTTTATGAATCTTAGATAGAATTTGATCATGCGCTTGACAAGAATGAGTATATG